GTATTGTTATATTTTTAAAAATATTAATTTTAAATTCAAAACTAAAAAAGTAAAAAGTAAATTTTTCTAAAATAATCTCACCTTTCATTTATTTGCAAAAAACAGGCATTTTCAAAAACTTCCGTTAAGTGGCCGTTAGTTTTTTAACGGTGACCCAAAACTCGCACACATGCGAAAATGTAGGATTATTTCCAGTGACAGTGAAAAGTGGGATTATTTTTGAAAGAGCGTGAAAAGGTGGGATTATTTGAGATAATTTTTCCTTAAAAGAATGGTATCTTTGTATATTTCATCATTTAAATTGAGTGTAAGTTTTTAAAATCATCCCTTCTATTTCCTCCATTTATAAATGTATTTCCCTGTTTGACTTTTTTGATCAAATTTTTTAAACTATGACTATAAACTACCAGAAATATATATTGAATTATTATATACAAACATAGTTTTGAAATATATCAATAGATTCATTTTGAAATATAATTTTGAAATATATTATTTTTAGTAATATATATTTATATATAAACAGAAATATTAATTATCATAGTATTGCATTGGTGAAAAGTCAAATGAGAAATAAACCTATGGACACATGGTGTATTCAGTTTGAGTTTTCAAACATTTTGATGAATTTTTAATAATCTATAGATTATATAAAATGAAAAAATTGTTTTAATGTACATATATAAAGTTGTATAGACTTTGATACATTTTATTACTCCGTATCAATATTTGTTTAGATTTATTATATTATACCAACATCAATCATTGGTTATAAATAGACTAAAATAAAACTTTGTTTGTCCTTAAAAGAATTACCTTATTTGATCAACATGCAATATCTTATGACTTTTAAAATGATTTTATTCACAAAATGGTAAAGACATAAAAAAATTCATATTTAAAAACTACATCGAAAACTCTACAAAACAATACATGACAAGAATATTTTATTTATTAAATGATAATTGAAAACATGAAAACAAATAAAAGTTATCGAGAGACCGAAATAGTTAAGAGGTAATTCTTTTAAGGACGGAGATAGTAAAAAATTAAAAAATACAAAAGACATAAATATGAATTCAAGAAAAAGGGTTTAAAACACAGGGATAAAAAGAATCAATTAGCAATAGATAAAATGAGTTTATTTTCTAAAACCAAAACAATTTTTAGTCACGTGATGAACAACAAATATAGTCACACGAGTTTTCAGGGAAAAAAAACTAAAAAAGAATAAACTCAATGAAATATGTAAGCTATAACGACATGTAGACCAGTGGCCCGGAGCCAAAATAAGAAGGAAGAAAGACCAAAGTCGGACTACATTGAAAATATAACAAATTAGGACTTCCATTTATTTATTTCCAAAACAGGATGTACATTACCAAATTTGGTCATGTACATTACTAAAAAAATATAGTAATGTGCACATGTACAGTGCCACATTACAACCATATTACCACAATGCGAAGTCCTATTTCAGGAAAAAAAACATAAAAGTCCTATTTTGGTATTTTTTTCTATGTTTTAGTCTTATTTAGGAAGATTTCTAAAACAAGAAATAAATGAATCCGAAATTATAAACTACTCGGATTTTATAATATATCATAAATCAAAGAACTACAGAGCAAAGGACGGCAGCATTATATACTCGGTACTTATTTAGGCGGTTCGAATCTTAAATGGGTCAGAACTGGTTAAACCATACTCGACCATTCATATTAAATATATAACGGTTAAAATTATATGTGCGAGTACAAATTGTTTCTTAAAAATATGTGCGGGTACATATAAACAAACTTTTTTTGTCGCTTTCTCAAGGGAATAAAATGATTTTAAATAATTACAAAATAAAATTGAAATACACAAATGACAAATTTGTATAGTTTGTGTCCAAAGTCATTTATGACTCTAGCATTACTCAACAAAAATATTTAGGTTGCACCAAATTATAATTGAAGTTGTACCAAATTATAATCAAAGTTGTACACGGACTTACATATGAATAAAATAAATATTTATTTACTAATTAAATAAGTATTTTTTAAATAAAAAAATAAAAAAAGATTTTTTATGTGAAAAATTCACAAAAATGATATGTACCCAAAGATTGAAGATCTCTCTCCCAGCCACACGGCCCACACCTTTTAAAACAATGAGAGTTTGATTTGGGTTCGGAGTCTAAAACCGACCTTTTTACTAACCTAAATTCCCAGGTACAAATATACCCCACCCCGTATAAGTTGAATTCTTCAAAGACCTAATTCGCTAGTCCTAAACCCTCTGCGGAAAAACCCCACCCGCGGCGGACGCCGGACACCGCCGAGAGCCAGTTAAGGCAATACCCGTGACCTCGTTGCGCGATGACGATGAAATACTACTCATCATCACTGGGAGCAAGAATGCCTACCGGAGCATCGCTGTTCTCGGCATATGCCTCCTTCTGCGCCACCTACACTCTGCTACAGCAAGCTTTCTACCAGTTTGTTCCGGCGTCCGTTCGGTATTACTTCTACAAGCTCTTCATGCGGTGGTTCGGAGAGATTTCGAAACCCCAGCCAGACATCTTCAGCCTTATCATCCCCGAGAAGAACGATATGAACCGGAATGAGGTCTTTGCTGCTTGCCAAATTTACTTGTGTAGTAAGATGAATGACTCTGCGGATTGTCTCGAGGTAATCTCCTCTATTTTGAAATGTTATGTTGGCGAATTTCTAGTTGAAGAGAGAATTAATTTTACTATTAGATTTTGGTTTGTTTTAGCAATTTGGAAACAAAAGTTGGACCCATGGAATTAATGTTGTTTTTTGAAGGCTGTGTGAGGGTCAAAACTTGACAATTTCTGTAACTTAAAAGACAAAATGCTTTTTTTGTATTAGTATGAATATTAAATAATTTTAGAACTTGTGCCTGCTGATTTGTTTACAGAACCGAGTCTTCTAACGAAGAGCTATTTTGTCACCTTGTATACATTAAACCTTAGTTTCGTGTATTTATATGGTTTATGTTAGACATTTAAATTTGTTATGGTATATTATTTTTGGGCTATTGTGTGATTAGTCACTCTTGTTTCATTCTCTATACATATTGTACTAGCCAAACATTATCAATTGAGTAATACAATTATTCCATGAGTATACACCACAATTTGTTAAGAAAATTACTGAATTAGGAAACTTGTTTTTCATGTAAAGGTTAGCAAAGCAACAAATGAGGATACCATGAGCTACAAATTGGTAACAGGAGTGACTTTCTTCGACACCTTCGAGGGAGTAGGTCTTACTTGGACTCTCAATAGCACTTCTTCTAATGAAGATGATGGTGGTGATTCAAGTGATCACAATAAGGTGCAGAAGCGCCCAAGCCACTCCCCTGTCATTGGGAATATGTATTTTTCCTTGAGCTTCGACAAGAAGCACAAGAAAAAGATTTGTGATTCTTATTTGCCCTTTGTCATTTCAACGTCACAAGACATAACTCGTGAAGGGAGAGTGTTAAGGATTTATGACTGTGCGAGTGTATATGGATATGGAAGCAGGCACTCGAGCGTTAAAATGACACATCCGTTCACATTTGAGAAGCTGGCCATTGACCCTGAGATGAAGAAGATGATTATGGATGACTTGGACCGATTTGTAAAGAGGAGGGATTTTTATAAGAGGGTCGGGAAACCTTGGAAACGGGGGTACTTGCTCTATGGCCCTCCTGGAACTGGTAAGTCTAGCTTGATAGCTGCCATGGCCAATCATCTCAGATTTGACATCTATGATGTGCAGCTTGGAAGTATGCTTGGTCGCTACTATGCTTTGAGAGACTTGTTATTGTGGCTACCGAGTCGATCCATAGTCATCATTGAGGATATTGATCGTACCCAAGGCCTCCCAAAAAATCGAACCAAGGCTCCACCAGAGGACATCGATAGTGACTCTAGTCATGACATTGAGGATGAAAAGAACAAGGACCAGGTGAGTCTTGTCGTATACTTTCTCCTTCTATGGGTATTCGTTCAACTTGATTTTTTTTGCTCAAATTAGACAGACATTGGTTATCATTTGAATGCAAATTGCATCACATATTAATAAAAAGAAAATCATTTTCCTAAAGCTTTTTTCAAAATAAATCTAATTAAATCATTTTTATACTTATATGTAGTGTAACTTTTTTTAATTTATTATCAAAATTCTAGGTCAAATTGAATGAATACAATGGGGCGAGTTTCACCTATCTTGCTCAATTATAACAGCCCATCATATTCTTTTGATAGATGTAAATAACCACTATATTTTATTGAAATTTTGTTTAGAATGATCTAGCTTCGCTGCTGAACTTTGTTGATGGGCTATGGTCGTGCTGTGGTGACGAGAGGATCATCGTGCTAACTACCAATCACAAGGAGAAGCTGGACCCTGCTTTGTTGCGCCCGGGGCGCATGGACATGCACATTCACATGTCGTACCTTACCATGCCCGGCTTTAAGGTCTTGGCTCATAACTATCTCCAAATCTCACATGACCACGCCCTGTTCCCCGAGATTGAGAGGCTATTGAAGATGGTGAACGCGACGCCAGCAGAAGTTGCAGAAGAGCTAATGCGGAGTGAGGATGCCAACATTGCCCTCCAAGGAGTCATTGAGATGCTTAATGGGAAAGTGCCAAAGGCCGAGGTGGCTGCACCACTTGATGCTTAGTAGACTTCTTTTTAACTCGTATAATCTAAGTCCTATTGAAATGCTGGAGACACATAAAAAAAATTTAACAAAATTCACCAACTTGTCTATTGAATTTAAATTTTAAATTTTTTAAAAATTATTTGAGACTATCCAAATAACAAGTTGGTGAATTTTGTAACTTTTTTGTTTGTAACTCTAGCATCTATCCAAGTTCTATTGTAGGGTAGGTAATATTAGGTTTTTCCCAAGATGATGCTCTGTAAATTGTTATGACTTCGTATTATTCAGTAGTCAATTGATAATTGCTAGCTATGACTTGTACATTTTATTATCTTCGAAAAACTAGCTAAGCAACATCATGTCTGTGACACAATGTTTTGAAAACCGGACATCGAAATGGAGTAGTCATTGGGTCAAGGATCAATGGATCGATCCAAGTATCGGGTCAACCACCCGATCAACAACCCATTACTTGGTATAAAATATTCATATTTATGTTTAGATAACAAAAAATAAATAAATAATACTCTCTCCGTCTCCCTGTATTTGTCCACTTTCAATTTTGCACACCGTCCAATGCACTTCTTTAATCCATTTTATCTTGTAATTTGTATATTAAAAAATTATAAAAATTATATATTAATAATCTATGTGTTAAGACAAATCAAACAAGATCACACATGACTATATTTAGGCTTACACATTGAGAGAATTTGATGAGTCAAAGTGCTTAGATGAACCGTTCCAAAAGTCAAAAGTGGACGAATACAGGGGGACGGAGGGAGTATCATGTTTTGTGAAATATTTTTTAAAATAATAAAATATTATCGCATAACTTAAGTATGCCTATCATTTCTAAATAATACAAAGCATATACTCCTTCCGTCTAATTTTAATCTTCTCATTTGCATTGAACACACATATTAAGAAAAGATAGATGTAAATCTTATTTTCAATGTTAAATAAAATATTTAAAATTGTGTTATATTTCTTCTTCATGTTATTTTCAATGGCGTTCACATACTCTTAAACACATTTTATATTTTATTATAAATAGTACGGAGTATATACTTTTTCATTTTATAGTAGATGATAATTTTTGTTTAGGTATAAATTACTACTATTATTTTGATACAAAAATAATATTTATTTTTTACTTTGAAATATTTTAAAAGCTTATAAAATAATTACACTACACGAGCATTTCTTTCTTTCAAATAATTAATTTTTTTAATTCACTCAACACATATAAAAAAGACTATATATACTACTCTGCATGACTTTCGCACCAAACTCGTGAGTCAGGCGGGTCAACCCAATTCACTGATTTGCGATCCGACCAGTTAGACCGGTCAGTCCGGTTCAATTCTTATTACATTGGTTCGATACCTTAGTGTTTCTCATACACACAAACAAACCTACTTTTGGAGGAAAATGTCTCTGTGTATGAGAAAGACACTATGTTGTCAAATGTGAGGTTCTCCTAATATCGCTCATGCAGTATAGACCTAAACCCGCACAAACACGGATCTAGACAGGATGGTCATTTTTTGCCCATATATCTAGACGGGCCAAGTCCGCCAGTATAATTCGGAATAAACATAATGCCCATATCCATCCATGAAATTGATCCAAATGGGCCATAGGGCGGCTCGCCCCGCACCTTATATAAATTTGAAGAAAAATATTAGGAGATTTGCCAAAGGGGAGTACTATTCATGTTGAGAGGGAAGAATGATTTTTGAGAGGTGATACATACCTTACCCTAGGAGATTTGCAAAAAGAGGAAGAAAATTACCCTAACTAGAAGGGACATAAATGTCCATATTTGAAAAAAATTATATGGGTGGAGCTCCACTAGTAAACATTGGAGCGCCAATAACAATATCCTAAAGAATTAGGGTAAAAAAACAAAGGCAAAATTGACAAGAATACTCCTAGAAATTACATATTTTACATAAATATTCCCAAATTTGTTTATTCACATCATTACTCCCACATTTCTCTTTTATTTACGTTGTTACTCCGAAATTTGGTAGTGATCATTAGTGTTACTTGGATGTGTCATTTTTGCGTTAAGTGAAAAGTTAAAATGCAGACATGTATTTTTTCCACTCTAATATACTAAATTCACTTCAACTTATTCTCTCCATCGTCTTTCTCACGTCTTAGTAAGCCTAATTATTACCCTTATTTCCCATCACTTTTAAAAAAAATTGAGATTTCAAATTTCTTAAATCTTTTTAATGTTTAATATCAAGTCTGTTCATATTAATTTAATTTGAATTTAATAAAAAAGATGAAAAACCCCGTATAAAAAGAGGCACCCGAGAAACACTGATGATGAAGCAATCGCGGAGTAATGACATAAATAAAAGAGAAATGTGGGAGTAATGGTGTAAATAAACAAATTTGGGAGTATTTATGTAAAATCTCTAATTTCTAGGAGTGTTCTTGTGAATTTTGCCAAAAACAAATAGGACCTGAAAGTTCAACTTATACGGATTATATTTGTACATGGAAATTTTGGTTTGTAAGAAGGTCGACTTTAGACCCCAAACCCAAATCACACTCCCATTGTTATAAAAGATTGTTATAAAAGGTGTGGTTGGGATTTGGGAGAGAGATCTTGTACAACTTGATTATAATTGGGACTAGTAAATTAGGCTCTTAAATCTTGTATTTCTTCCGTAGAGGGTTTGAGACTAGCGAATTAAGTCATTAAGAATTGAGGTAAAAAACAAATAGGATCTGAGAATTCAACTTATCTGAAGTATATTTGTACTTGGGAATTTAGGTTTGTATAAAGGTCGGGTTTAGACCCCAAACCCAAATCAAACTCCCATTGTTTTAAAATGTGTGATTAGTGGAAAGATCTTCTATAACTTCTTTGGTCAGCTAAGTGGAAAAAGTACACCACCAGCTAGTTCCTTAGTCCTGAAGCCTCTGCGGAAAAAATAGACCACCCGCCGCGGACTCCGGACGCCAGACGCCGCCGTGAGCCAGTTAAGGCAAGATCCGTGACCTCGTTGTGCGATGACGATGAAATATTACTCGCCATCACTCGGAGCATCGTTGTTCTCGGCATATGCCTCCTTTTGCGCCACCTACACTCTGCTACAGCAAGCTTTCTACCAGTTTGTTCCGGCGTCCGTTCGGTATTACTTCTACAAGCTCTCCAGGCGGTGGTTCGGAGGGATTTCGAAACCCCGGCCAGACATCTTCAGCCTTGTCATCCCCGAGAAGAACGATATGAACCGGAACGAGGTCTTTGATGCCTGCCAAATTTACTTGTGCAGTAAGATGAATGACTCTGCTAATTGTCTCCAGGTAACTCCCTCCATTTAAAATGGTATGTTGGTGAATTTCTAGCTGATTTGTCTACAGAATCGAGTCTGCTAATGAAGAGCTATTCTGTCACCTTTTAACCTCAGTTTATATAGTTTATGTTAGACATTTAATTAAATTTGTTATGGTATATTATTTTTGGGCTATGGTGTAATTAGTCATTCTTGTTTCATTCTCTATAAATATTGTATTGGCCAAACATCATGAATTGAGTAATACAATTATTCCACGAGTATACACTTCAATTTGTTAAGAAAATTACTGAATTAGGAAACTTGTTTTTCATGTAAAGGTTAGTAAAGCAACAAATGAGGACACCATGAGCTTCAAGCTGGTAACAGGAGTGACTTTCTTCGACACCTTTGAGGGAGTAGGTCTTAATTGGACTCTCAGTAGCACTTCTTCTAATGAAGATGGTGGTGGTGATCCAAGTGACCACAATAAGATGAGGATGCAGAAGCGTCCAAGCCCCTCCCATGTCCTCGGGACTATGTATTTTTCCTTGAGCTTCAACAAGAAGCACAAGAAAATGATTTGCGATTCTTATTTGCCCTTTGTCGTTTCAACGTCACAAGACATAACTCGTGAAGGGAGAGTGTTAAGGATTTTCGACTGTACGAGTGTATATGGACATGGAATGGGAAGCACGCACTCGAGCGTTAAAATGACACATCCGTTCACATTTGAGAAGCTGGCCATTGACCCTGAGATGAAGAATATGATTATGGATGACTTGGACCGATTTGTAAAGAGGAGGGATTTTTATAAGAGGGTCGGGAAGCCTTGGAAACGAGGGTACTTGCTCTATGGCCCTCCTGGAACTGGTAAGTCTAGCTTGATAGCTGCCATGGCCAATCATCTCAGATTTGACATCTATGATGTGCAGCTTAGAAGTATGCTTGGTCGCCGCTCTTCTTTGAGAGACTTGTTATTGTGGCTACCGAGTCGATCCATAGTCATCATTGAGGATATTGATCGTACCCAAGGCCTCCCAAAAATTCGAACCAAGGTTCCACCTGAGGACAGCGAAAGTGACTCTGGTGACTCTGGTTATGGCATTGAGGATGAAAAGAAACACGACGAGGTGACTCTTATCTTATCGTATACTTTCTCCTTCTCTGGACATTCGTTCAACTTNTTTTTTGCTCAAATTAGACAAACATTGGTTATCATTTGAATACAAATTGCATCACATATTAATATAAAGAAAATTATTTTGCTAAAGTTTTTTTGAAATAAATCTAATTAAATCATTTTTATATTTATATGTTGTGTAACTTTTTTTAATTGATTATCGAAATTCATTCAATTTGACCTAGTTTCACACATCTTGCTCAATTATAATAGTCCATTATATTATTTTAATAGATGTAAATAACCACTATATTTTATACAAATTTTGTTTAGAGTGATCTAGCTTCATTGTTGAACTTTGTTGATGGGCTATGGTCGTGTTGTGGTGACGAGAGGATCATCGTGTTAACTACCAATCACAAGGAGAAGCTCGACCCTGCTTTGTTGCGCCCGGGGCGCATGGACATGCACATTCACATGTCATACCTTACCATGCCCGGCTTTAAGGTTTTGGCTCAGAACTATCTCGAAATCTCAAATGACCACGCCCTAATCCCCGAGATAGAGAGGCTATTGAAGATGGTGAATGCGACGCCAGCAGAAGTTGCGGAAGAGCTATTGAGGAGTGAGGATGCCGACATTGCCCTCCTAGGAGTCATTGAGATGCTTAATGGGAAAGTGCCGAAGGCCGAGGTGGCTGCAGTTATGCCCGTTAATGGGTCGGGTATCGACCCGAACCCGTATAATACCCGTAATTTTTTAGCGGGTTAAGGAATATAAAAAATACCGTTTACCTAAACCCGTACCCGTTATTTTTAAAAAATAAAAGGTCGGGTATAGGACGAGTAGTCCCGACCCGTTTAAAACCCGTACCGGTTAAATAAATACTACGTAATAAATATTAAATCCTACAAAACTCTACTACTCTTCTTCACTACTCATCTTTTTCGCTGGTTGCGTGGCTTCCAAATCTATTTGTATTTATTTCACCACATTAGAGGCATGCACACGTCTGTCTATGTTATGTAGTAGTATAAAATAAATAGTTTGGAATTAGCTGTAATGTTATAAGGAACATTCTTGCAACATGAAAGAATGTGACAAGAAGACCGATTATGAATCCAAAATTTTTATTGTAGATTTTTGGTAAAGAAGGCCGATTTTGGTTGCAATAATGTACTCTCCGTCCCACAAAACATTACTCACTTTGAATAGTATTTGGTCAAAAATTACATACTTTGACTACAAATTGTGAGAAAAGTATATTGAATTATAATATAAATTTAATATAATTGGTATCATCTTAGGATTTTTGATATATCAAATTTTTATAACATTTTTTTATTTAGGTTATATTTAATTTATGGTCAAAGCGTGTAACTGTTTGACCAAAAGTACATCAAAACGGGTAATGTTTTGTGGGACGGAGGGAGTGTTAGTTTTATTTTTATTTGTATTCAATTAAAGTATTTTTCATTCATAGTATTTTCACTACTTTTTTTCAATTATAGAATAATAAAAGACGTCAACTTTTATCATGGGTATACCCGACCCGATACCGAGATCCAATGGATCCAAATATAGGATTGAACTTCAAGACCCGTCGGGTAAACGGGTACGGGTCAGGATCAATTTTTTTATAACATGTATGGATATAGAACTCTATGGACCGGCCCGAACCCGACCCATTGACAGGCCTAGCTGCAGTTGCAGCACCACTTGATGCTTAGTAGATTTCATTTTAACTCGTACAATCCAAGTCCTATTGAAATGCTGGAGTCACACAAAAAAATTAACAAAATTCACCAACTTGTCTATTGAATTTAAATTTTTAGTTTTTTAAAAATTATTTGAGACAATTTTGTTCTTTTGGCGAGCTTAGAAATAACGAGTTTGTAATTTTGTAACTTTTTTGTTGGTGGCTCTAGCATCTATCCAAGTTCTATTCTAGGGTAGGTAATATGAGGTTTATCCCAAGATGATGATCTTTAAATTGTTATGAGTTCCTATTATTTAGTAGTCAATTGTTAATTGCTAGCTATAACTTGTACGTTGTTATTATCTTCAAAAAAGTAGCTAAGCCACATCACATCTGACACAATGTTTTGAAAACTAGATTAGTCAATGGGTCAAGGGTCAATGTATCGACCCAGGTTCACTCGAGTCAACCACCAAGTCAACAACCCATGACTTGGTATAAAATATTCATATTTATGTTTAGATAACAGAAAATTAAATAATATCATGTTTTGTGAACTTTTTCTAAAGATAATAAAATATTATTACATAACTTAAGTATGCCTATTATTTCTAAATAATACAAAGCAGATACTCCTTCCGTCTAACTTTAATCTTCTCATTTACACCGGACACACATATTAAGGAAAGACAGATGTAAATCTCATTTTCACTGTTAAATAAAATATTTAAAATTGTGATCTATTTCTTCTCCATGTACTTTCAATGTCATTGTTCATATACTCTTTCATACTTTATTATTGTTGATATATTTTATTATAATTAGTATATATTTCTTCATTTCATACATGATAATATTTGTTTAAATACAAATTATTCATTATTATTTTAATACAAAATTAATATTTATTTTTTTCTTTGAAATATTTTACTCCCTCCGTCCCTGAGTGTTTGTCCACTTTCATTTTTGCACACCATCCAATGCACTTCTTTAATCCATTTTATCTTGTAATTTGTATAATAAAAAATTATAAAAATTATATATTAATAATCTATATGTTAAGACGAATCAAACAAGATCACACATGACTATTTTTAGACTTACACATTGAGAGAATTTGATAAGCCAAAATGTTTAGATGAACAGTTCTAAAAGTCAAAAGTGGACAAACACTCAGGGACGGACCAAGTAAAAGCTTATGAAATAATTACACTACACAAACATGTTCTTTCTTTCAAATAGTTAGAAGTTTCTTTAATTCACTCAACATAAATAAAAAAGACTATGTATACTATTGTGCACATAGTTTTCAAAACCGAACCGGTGACTAGACCTGACAAAACAGAACCGGAACAATTTACCCAAACCGAATTATCCGAAACCAAAGTCAAAATGATCCGAAAAATGAAGATCTGATCTATAACCGAAAACCTGAGAAAACACCATCTAAAAGTATTCTCAAAGATGGAGTTATTACTCCAAATCCAGACTTTGTCTCTTAGACAATCGTTGATACTCAGATCCGGCTGTCACTTCGTACGAGATGAAGTAATGGTAGGCACTATGACTACACATCATGTTCCTTCTTCAGAACAATTAAAAGACATTCTCATGAAGCAGCTTCCGCCAGTTCCATTCGAGTAATTACGCTCCGCCTGTTTCATTATACAATAACACCAATTATTATCAAATTGTATAAAAAAGAAATAAAAAAGCTTGTGTGTGTGTGTCTATATATATATATATATATATATACACATATATATTAAAAAATTATAAAAATTATATATTAATAATCTATATGTTAAGACGAATCAAACAAGATCACACATGACTATTTTTAGACTTACACATTGAGAGAATTTGATAAGCCAAAGTGTTTAGATGAACAGTTCTAAAAGTCAAAAGTGGACAAACACTCAGGGACGGACCAAGTAAAAGCTTATGAAATAATTACACTACACAAACATGTTCTTTCTTTCAAATAGTTAGAAGTTTCTTTAATTCACTCAACATAAATAAAAAAGACTATGTATACTATTGTGCACATAGTTTTCAAAAAGACTATATATATATATATATATGTAATACCCCGTATTAAGATGGGAATGAGAAGAGCTCAAAAGGATTGATAGTACTACTCATACCAACAAGGTGCATCTTCTTTTCGAGAGCTCATCACCTAAAAAACTCCAAAGTTAAGCGTGCTTGACTCAGAGCAATTTTAGGATAAGTGACCCCCTGGAAAGTTTTCCTTGGGCGCGCACGAGTGAGGACAAAGTGTGCGGGAAAGACTTGTGTTGGTTTGTGGGGCCAGTCTACAATCCTAGGAGCGGACACTTAAGGCTAGGGTGGGGGCCGGGGTGTTACAATATATATATATATATATATATATATATATATATATATATATATATATAGTATAAGGATTTTTCATTGCATAATTGTGTAGAGATTACATCAATATATACTAGGAGTCTCAATCCTACTAAAGGTAGTAGAGATATAATAGGAAGCCTATACAATTATGGTAACAATAATATTACAAGAATAATAAATATAATTAATATATTTAACATGCTCCCGGCTACGTTGGATGTGGAGGATGTCTGATACCCAGACTTTCTTTGAACTCGAGAAAGAAGAGAGATGGCAGTCCTTTGGTGAAGATGTCCACATACTGAAAAGAAGAGGGTACATGAGGGACCCTGATGTGACCAAGTGCCACTTTGTCACGGACAAAGTGTTTGTTGACCTCAACGCGCTTGGTGCACTGGTGCTGTACTTGACTCGATGAGATGTAGACGACACTGATTTCACAGAAGACAAGGGTGGCACGACTTAGTGGTTGTGTAGCTCAAGAAGAAGATTTCGAACCCAAGAAGTCTCTGCAACAGCATTGGACACAACCCGATACTCAACTTGGTGCTTGGATGACCATGAGACCATGTTGTTGCCTAGAAAGACACAGTAGCCCGAGGTGGAGCGTCTAGTGTCGGGGTAGCCAGCCCAATCTGCATAAGAGTAAGACTGCAAATAATCTGTAGTGGAATGTGTCAAATAAATGCCATGGGTTGCAGTTCTACTGAGGTAACGAAGGACTCGCTTCATGGCCGTGAGATGGGCGTCACAGGGTGCATGAAGATGGAGGCAAAGCTGCTGAACGGCATATGTGATATTGGGGCGAGTAAAGGTGAGATACTGCAAGGCCCCAACAATGGATCTATACAGAGAAGGATCAGAAAGCACCGTGCCAGATGATGAGGAGAGCTTTGCCTTTGTGTCCACTAGGGTAGAGATGGGGCGACAGGAGACCATCATAGTGTTGTATTTAGGTGCCCTAGCGGCAATCAAATACCTATGTAACTGTACACTTTATCATGAATGAAAGGCCTTGAAGTATGTTTTATATATTATGTAACATAACATAGCTTCAGTTCATAGACGATAGCGCTTCAGTAACATAGATGAGGACTACGATGTTCTGATTATGAGATTGTTACTTCTTGACAAAGGCTATGTCTAGAATATCCCTAGTCGCACTTTATGATAATACGGACTTCATAACGTATCAAAACTAGTATGTACGAAATGAGATAGTTGCGTCTCATAGACTATAGGTATTGTGATATCTTAATCTGTACGTAGGTGCATATTATATCGATAGTATGTGACTGGATTGACACATCTTGAGAATACTGCATGGATCTACATTAATGTGTTTATCAGTATTTTCAATTTGACCTTGCTATAACTATCCTCAGACTTGAAGTTGTTACATTCTCTGATATGTGGGGTCGTATGCTTTGATTCGTAACTAATGCTATCTGAAATACTGGAAGACATACATTATGCGTTGGGTATGCCGCTAAGAATATTTAGAGATGTGAATAATAGATATAGGATCTGTCCCTTCTACTGTATAGAAGTATAATGTCAATGGGCCCACTGAATAGTAGGACTTGGGAAAGTGCATGGCCATGCTCAGATATATCGTTATCCAGAGACTGATAAATATTTGATCCCTACCAGTCTACTTGAGATTCAGTAACAGCTGATTTAACTATACAAGGATACACATCCCATGCCTTGTGCTAAATCATGACATTTAGGACAGAAGGATAATAGTTATACACCGTCTTGTGTTGTAGAAGGTATTGATGAGATGAACGTCTTTTTCATAATCTGGGGGTAATAATATGTTGCTAGATACCGCTTATTATCTATGGTATTAATTTATATTAGTATCATTGCCAGTGTTATGGATACCTAAAGGGTCACACACTTAGGACTTGTAAGGCAGTAGTACACTACACTAGTGGGAATAATATTAAATATATAGTTGTGATAATTATATATATATATATATATACACACATACACACATACGTACATATATACATATACATATATATATATATATATATATATCTATATATATATATATATATATATACACATACATATCATAATCGATGGAAAACCCTAGCGGCGTTCAGGAGCTTTCTTCTCCGGCGTATACGCCGGTATCTGCCTCAACTGCATCCATTAGAGGACAGAACAGGCGGTTCTCGGAAGTAGTTGCAAAGGGTGTTTAGGCTAGAGCACTGGAAGGGAAGATTACGGGATACCAGAATGGAATTCCATCTGTGACTTTTTCGAAAAATGACATCTCTGAATTATCAGTGCGTTTCAAGCATGCGTTAGTGGCTACGTTCGAAACTCGTCCGGCCTTCTCTACAATGAAATCATTTATGCAAAAGCTTGGTCTCCTTGGAGATTTCGACGTCACCATCTTATCAACCAGGAGTTTCCTATTGAATTTTCAAAGGGAGGAGGATTATGTGAGGATATTTTTTACGACGAGTATGGAGGGTTTATGGGCAAGATATGACGATTACAAAATGGAGCCCCTCCCTATCTTCCTATTCTTCCTATTTGGATTGCTTTCCCAGATTTTCCAATCCATCTGCATGATAAACGGGCTTTACATCTTTTGGCATCCTCGATTGGTCACCCCTTGCAAGTTGACTCTTGTATGTTAAATTTCTCCAGGCCCCAACTTGCACGTTGTTGTGTGGAGGTTGATATCTCTCACTTGCCTCCTGCAAAGATTCACGTCCAACATGGGGAGGAGGATATGTTCCTTGACTTCTACTATGAAAACGTACCTTCTTATTGCATGGATTGTGGGAAGATTGGTCATCCAAAGGAGAGGTGCCCACTAGGGAAAAACAGGCAAGATGCAAGGCCTAAGGATGTGAAGACAGATACTGCATGGCAAGTGGTTACTCGTAAGAAAGGGAAGACCAAGATGGCCAAGAAGCCAGAAATGGTTTGGAAAGCAAAACCTTATCAAACTTCCATGCAACTTGTGCAGTGGTTTGAAGGTCCGGGTGAGTCTTCTAGGGTGAGAGAAAATAGTGTGGTTGCGGACTCCCATGTTCAGCTTCTACTCCCAGAGGGAATTTTTACTATCTCTGATCCCACTCTATTGACTGCCTTCACGATGCACAAACTTTTCTCTCCCACACCTTTGGAGGTTAAAGAAGACTGCATGGCAATTATTCCTTATGAGGACTGTTTAGAGGAACTCCTAGAAGATGCAGAACCAGATGTGGGTTTCTATATGGATGGGGGTGATATTGATTCAGTTTGCCATTATCTTGAAGAATTTCCTTCTTTGGATAGCCCCTCTCCAGATCTGGTTGTATCTTCTAAGCTTTCTAAAAGCTCAAAACCAAGGGAGCGTAGCCATGCAATGGTAACACGGCGAATGGCTTCAAATAGATTTTCTGTGCTTTGTTCTCCATGATTGGTTTTTTTGGAATATTAGGGGTGTACATTCTTCTCTTCCTCGTCTTATTTACCTTATTAAAACATATAAGTTGCAGTTTATCTCTATTTTGGAGCCTTTGGTGGATCTTGATAAAATTGAATGGTATAAATTGAAACTTGGATTTTCAAAGGGTTTTTCTGCTCTTAATAACAAGCTTTGGTTTCTTTGGAAGGATGATTACCTCTCCCTCCACACTGTTATTGAAGAGTCTCAGATCCTTACTTGTGGATTCAAGCATGCTGCTTCCTCTCCATCTATTTGGATTTCAAGCGTGTATGGTTTGCATACCAGATCTGATAGAGAGGATCTCTGGCTATCTCTTAGAACTCTTTTTCCTAGGTCTGGTCCTTGGATTGTTGGGGGTGACTTTAACACTGTTGCCTCTCTCTCAGAACACAAAGGTGTTGTTTGTCCAGATCTTGGAGGAATAGGGGATTTTGCTCAGGTCATCTCTGAGTGTGAGCTTGTGGCTCCTCCCTTTCTTGAGAGTGAATTCACTTGGACTGGTAAAAGGGGTCGGGGGAGAGTCTTTAGGAGGCTTGATAGAGTCTTAGTGAATGAATCATGCTTGGATTCATTTCCAGTAATTGAGATCAGACATCTTGGACAAGGACTTTCAGATCATAGGCCCCTTCTTTTCAAATCACTTTCCCATCATGTGGTGGGCCCTAAACCTTTCAGATTTCTGAATGTATGTTGTTCACATACTTCCTTTAAGGACCTTGTTGCTAGCTCCTGGGGACAGAGTTTTCAAGGAGGGGGTATGAGGGGTCTGGCTTTTAAATTGGCTGCTCTGAAGAGGGCACTTCTTCAGTGGAACAAAGAGGTATTTGGGAATATTTTTGATGCAGTTTCAAAGGCAGAGGAAAGGCTGATGAGGGCGGAAGATACTCTAGAAAGGGATGATTGTGAAGAAAATGTGGTGGCATGTAATTTGGCTAGGGCTTTGTTGCAACAGGCTCACAAAAAGGAGGAAATGTTCTGTTCCTAGAAAGCAAATGTTAGGTGGATTTCTCAAGGGGATGCTTCAACTGCATTCTTTCATTCTTTGGTCAAGGGACGGAGAAATAGACTCTTCATTTCTTCTCTTAAGAATACAGCTGGTTGTATGCTTTCCTCTCAAGAAGAAATAGCAAAGGAGGCTGTTGCTCATTTTACTAGGGTTTTTTCCACTGTCCACGAGGGTGACATGGGTGAAGTACTTAGTCATATTCCCTCCTTGCTCTCTACGCAAGATAATGATATGCTTGGGAGGCTGCCAGATGAGGAGGAGGTTAGAAAGACTATTTGGGCTTTGAATTCAAATAGTGCTGCTGGTGCTGATGGGTTTAATGGCTTCTTCTTTAGATAGGTTTGGGACATTATTAAGGTGTATGTCTATAAAGCTGTGCAGGAGTTCTTTTTGGGTATCCCTTTGCCTACGGTTTTTGGGAGTACTTTGATCACCCTTATTCCAAAACTTGAGGGTGCTATAACTCTGGATCAGTTTAGGCCCATTTCTCTCTCTACTTTTTTCAACAAGATCCTTTCCAGGATACTCAATGATAGACTGAAGAGAGTCCTTCCCACTCTTATCTCCCCAGAGCAGGTTGCTTTTCAGCAAGGAAAAAGTATTAATGAACATGTTTTGATGGTTAAAGAGATGGTGCATTTGCTATCTGCAAATACCAGAGGTGGAAATTGTATCACCAAGCTTGATCTGTCTAAGGCTTTTGACAACATATCTTGGAGTTATTTGGAGCAGGTTTTGATAAAATTTGGATTTTCCCCAAGGATTGTGTAGCTTCTCATGGGAAATCTGAGGTCCACCTTCTTTTCTGTCCGTGTGAATGGTCAGCCCAAGGGTTTTTTCCCCGTGCAGTGTGGTGTTAAGCAGGGTGATCCCTTGTCACCTCTTTTGTTCATTCTAGCTATGGAAGGGTTTACCAGTTACTTTAATCATCTTGCTAACACTGGAAGGATCAGCTGTTTCTCATCTGGCAAGACAGTGGCCCCAAGTCATTTGTTGTATGCTGATGATATATTCATTTTCACTAGAGCTGATTGTAGGAATCTCTTGAGGTTAAAGGCAGCTCTTTCCTCTTTTGGGATGGCATTTGGTCAGGCTATTAACTTTAATAAAAGTCAGGTGATTGTTCATGACAAGATGAGGCAGGAGCATAGGGCTAAGATTAAAAGTATACTTGGCATTAGATGTACCCCCAGAGAGTTTACTTATCTGGGGTCTACTGTTGTGAGAGGAAAGTTGAGGAAAGCTCACTGCCAAGCATTGATCCAGAAGTTTGAGAGAAGAATTGCAGCCTGGTATAGTAGGAAGCTTAATCAGATGGGGAGGCTTATTTTGATTAAGCATGTTCTCTCTTCTATTCCTTTGCATATCTTGGCGGTTCAGGAACTACCTAAGTCTGTCATTAAGTGTCTTCATAGGATGATGACTAATTTTTTCTGGGGGGCTAAGGATGAGGGCCAAAAGTATCATTGGAGGAAATGGGAAAAGCTATGTTTCCCCTTGCACGAGGGTGGATTAGGGGTAAGGGATCTTGGCCATTGTCAAAGGGCAGCTGCCATGGATCTATGGTGGAAGGTTCAGTAAGGCGGAACCATTTGGAGGACTTTTATGCACCAGAAGTACTTCCGAGATGGGTCCTTCACTCCTAAGCTATATAGTTCTGCTACTTGGAAGTCTATCTGCAAAGCTCACTCTTTTATATCCCCTTATTGCACCTCATCACAGGGCAGGGCTGTATGGGCTGATGGAGCATACTCTTTTGGCAAGGTTTACTACCATTCTTTTGATCATAAGCCCAAACAGATCTCTTGTTCATATATTTGGGATAACAGGAATATAAGTAGGATGAGCCTGTTTCTTTAGAGAGATGTCAACAAACTGCTGCCCTTACCATGTCATTTACAGAAATTGCAGCTCCTGGTGGATGTTACCTGCCCTTTTTGGAAGGAGAGTAGTGTGGATGATCATCACATTTTTGTTTATTGTAGGGAGATCTCTGGTCTTTGGAAAGCTTATGCAGCTGCTGCCAAGGCTCCCTTCTCAGCTGCCCCTCTCTCTTTGCAGCAGATGCTGTTAAGTTGGTGGTTTTCTTCTAACAAGAAGAGCATTTTGGGCAATGTGAGATTTGTTCTTCCTGGGCTGCTGATCTGGAACATTTGGAAGGCATACAACTCCTACATATTGGCTCAGGCTAGGTTTTCGAAGCAGAATATTATGGCAGCTACAAATCAGATCCTCCAACAATGGTTTTGGGCTAAGCATTTGGATACTTCTTTGTTATATAAATCACAGCTTTTTAGCTTGGGTATTTTCAGATTTTCTAGGCATGCGTGATGTATTTTGGACCTTGCAGCTCTATTGAATTTTTAATGATATATATATATATATATATATATATATATATATATATATATATATATATTTCACGAAGAGTACTTTTATTAATGAAGAAAGACCAAGTACAAAACCAAGAAGAAAGTCAAACTACATGCAACAATCTACTACCATTAATCCAGAAAAGATCCAACCCCCAATCGGAGAAGCATCTATCTTTAACCAGCCACCTCTTACGGCGTGAGGCCCAACTCCATGCTTGTACATGATAAAAGCATCTTTGAATGATTGTTTCTTTACTCGGGGTGGATCCGTCATAAATGGCTTGATTCCTTGCTTTCCAAAGATGCCACGAGATAACTCCCGGCAAGACTAATCTTAGAATACCCTTAAACGAAGAGGACTCAGCACTGAACCACCATGTGAGGAAAATTTGATTTAGTCGTAGTTCTGAGGACGGTTTAGGTGCATCTATGAGGGCTGCAAAATAACTCCAAACTTGCAAGCTGAGGGGACAAGATGCAAGGGTATGATCCAAGGTATCATCAAAGGATTTGCAAAGGGGGCACCTACTAGAAAGACTGGCCGAAAACCTAGCAGCCCGATCTGGAAAGGGAGGATAGCCAAAGAAAGCTTTCCATTGAAAAATTCTAAGCTTGGGGGTTTGAGCTGAATGCCAAATATATTTGCAAGAGAGCCTTGAAGGGAGACCATCTCCAATAGAGCTAAGTACAGTCTTAGAGGAGCAGGGTTTCCCGTCCCAGAGAGGAGGGTTTGGGCTTCCGCTGTAATGGTTTAGCGCCAACTCATGAACCCTACAGATCCTCTTCCACGTTGGGGAGTCCGTCAGCTTCTCCTTAATGTTGCCTTTGTTCATATAAATGCCCCTCATGAGAGAAGCCACACACCGTTATCATGGTAAACCCGCCACCATAAGTTTATTGAGTGAAGAAGCTGCATCTGCCGCAAGTCATTAATGCCCAAATCACCTGAAGAAGTAGGACAGCAAAGAGACGTCCATCTTTTCCAATGATGAAGCCTTGCACCATTCCTAGAACCCCAAAAGAAGTTGGCCATCCGGGCATGAAGAGAATTGATTATCGACGTCGGGATGGTGTGAACCGCTAGAACATGTAAGGGGATCGAGGAGAGTACATGTTTAATTAAAATAAGCCTTCCCATAGGGTTCAACATCTTGCTACACCACGAGAGTAGGTGCTTGTCAAAATGTGCAAGAAGATGATCACATTGCGGCTTCCTAAGAATACCCTTGCAGATTGTTGCACCAAGGTAACGAAAAGGAAGAGAACCTGCTTCCATAGCAAGGGTCTTGCACATGTTTGTCAATTGAGAAGCGGGGGTAGAAGATTTGACAAAGAAGCTACTCTTTGTGAAGTTGATGTCCTGCCCCGAATCCAAAGAGTAATCTCCAAGAATTTTCCTAAGCTTGAGAAGGTTGACAGTATCCCCTCTGGTGAAGATCATAATATCATCCGCGTAGGTAAGATGGCCCGGCATCTTAATCCTACCCAAATTAAAGGGATGGATGTGGCCTTCTGTAACACCCTGGCCCCCACCCTGGCCGTAAGTGTCCGCTCATAGGATTGTAGACTCGCCCCACAAACCAACACAAGTCTTTCCCGCACACTTTGTCCTCACTCGTGCGCGCCCAAGGAAAACTTCCCAGGGGGTCACCCATCCAAGAATTGCTCCAGGTCAAGCATGCTTAACCTTGGAGTTTCTAGATGATGAGCTCTCGAAAAGAAGATGCACCTTGTTGGTATGAGCAGTACTATCAATCCTTTTGAGCTCTTCCCATTCCCATCTTGATACGAGGTATTACATTCACCCCCACTTAGGAATGCAAAGTCCTCGTTGCATCCTATTTTTTTTAAACCCAGAGATCTTCCCCGCTAGGTGAACTAAGCTCTTTTGGCCCGTCACGGTCGCAGGGTTGCTCTGATACCATTTGTAACACCCCGGCCCCCACCCTGGCCGTAAGTGTCCGCTCATAGGATTGTAGACTCGCCCCACAAACCAACACAAGTCTTTCCCGCACACTTTGTCCTCACTCGTGCGCGCCCAAGGAAAACTTTCCAGGGGGTCACCCATCCAAGAATTGCTCCAGGTCAGGCATGTTTAACCTTGGAGTTTCTAGGTGATGAGCTCTCGAAAAGAAGATGCACCTTGTTGGTATGAGTAGTACTATCAATCCTTTTGAGCTCTTCCCATTCCCATCTTGATACAAGGTATTACACCTTCCTCTAAACTTTTGTTGAGCGTTTTGAAAGACCTTCCCCTGCAATATTGAAAAGAAGAGGAGAGAGGGGGTCACCTTGCTTGACACCCCTGAACATAGGAAAGTAACCGGTGGGCTGCCTGTTAATAAAAACCGAGAGCATAGTGCCTTTAAGGTTTGCCAGGAGAAGACTAATGACGTGTCTAGAGAAGCCGGACTCTTTTAGTATTGCCTCAAGATAATCCCAGCGTAGAGTGTCAAATGCTTTGGCGATGTCAATCTTAATTATCATGTTTCCTCCGAAAGTTTTCCTGTCCAAGTTGTGAGCAGCCTCTAGCGCTAAAAGGATGTGGTCAGCCATGCTAATTCCTTGTTGAAAGGCTGCTTGATTTGAGGAGATTAGCTTAGGCAGCAAGGGTTTGAGCCTGTTGGAGAGGATTTTGGTGTTAACCTTGCTCATGAATGTGTTAAGGGAGATGAGCCTGAAATCATCAAAGCGTTTGGGACTATCCTTCTTGGGGATAAGGGAAATGAGAGTACTACCGTAGGCTCGCGGAATGGGGAATCCCAAGAAAAATTCTTGAGAGGCTTTGAGCATTTCCTCTTTAATAATGTCCCAACAAGTGCGGAAGAAAACACCATTGAAGCCATCCGGTCCTGAGGCGCTGCTACTATCCAGCTCCCAAACTGCCTGTCGAACTTCCTCCAAGGAAGGAATCCTACTGAGCTGCAAGTTATCACTGTCTGTGATGATACTAGGGATTTGTGAGAGGGGGTGGATAGGGTTGGAGGGGGAGAGGGCCTGAAACTGCTTTGAGAAGTGGGAAGCAGCTTCCAAGCAGATCTCAGATTGAATGGAGAGCCTAACACCAGCGTCCGAAATAATATGATTAATGGCAAGCTTCCTTCTCTTCCCATTTGCAAAGGCATGGAACACCTTGGAGTTTGAGTCCCCAAATTCAAGCCATCTCGCATTAGCTTTTTGCTTCCAATAAGCCACCTCTTTGTGAGTAGCTAGTAGGAGTTTGGCGCTTGCCTTCTCGGCTAATTCACGATTGGCAGCGGTAGGATCTTCCTCAAAGCTCAACTGGGTTTGGGTTGCAAATTCCTCCGCCTTAGTAAGTTTTCAAAGATATTGCCAAATTCTTTCTTGTTCCACTCCTTGAGACATCCCTTAAGACCTTTGAGTTTTGCCACAAGTCCACGCATGCCACCAGAGTAGGGAGTCTTAGTCCAACAGTCCTTAACCACCTGGAAGAACTGGTCATGGTAAATCCAGGCATTCAGGAATCGGAATGAAGAGGGGCCACTGTCACGGCTAGAATGGAAAGTGAAGAGAATAGCTTTGTGGTCACTACAAGCTTTGGGGAATATGGTGAGTATAAAAATGAGGAAAGAATGATTGAAAAGCTAGATTAACCAACACTCTATCCAACCTACGCCATGTTCTCCTACAGCTTCTTGTGCCAGACCACGTAAAGAGACCTCCGGAAGGTTCTGGACAGAACAGATTGCAAGCTTCAATGCACGAGTTGAACTCTTCCATTCCAAGTGCATTTGGTTTGCACTGACCTTTGTATTCTGAAGGGGAAGAAATAGCATTAAAGTCGCCTCCCACCACCCAATTATGATTAGTGTTGCTCCTCCCCTGTAAGCTCTCCCAAAGCTGCCTTCTCTCAATCACCGTGTGAGCCCCATAAACAGAAGAGATGATAATTGTGGAGTTGGATTTGTTTACCATGGAGAATATGCAGTGAGTAGCTTGTTCTTCGTCGTCAAAGCTAATCAAATGAAGCAGGTTAGAGTCCTAAAATATCCATCTCTTGTTATTAGCCGAAGAGAGATGGTTGCTGTAACCCAATTTAAGTCCGTAGGAAGAAATGTGTGAAGCTGAATTTTTTGGTTCAAAAATACAAAAGAAAGAAGGGGTTTGAATCCTCCTAAGGGAAAGAAGTCTGTACAGGGAAGGGGCACCCCACAGACGTTCCAAAAAATCAGCTGCATTTGGGAACCAAAGAGGATACTTTTTTAGAACTTTTGCTCTTTGTCTCCATGGCATGAGGAGTAGTTTCTTTGGAGTGTTTGAGGTATTTTTTGAAAGGCATGGGGGTGGTACTGCAAGAGGAAATGTCCACCTGTAAGGGAAGAAGCTCAGAACCATCGAAAGACATACCCCCTTCATTGCCTTCGGAAAGGTAGTACAAAGAGGAGAAGTCATCTTCTTTGTCAAGCTTCCCAAAGTCCATGCACATCATGGAGGCAGAGGAAGGTTTGCAGACCCAGTAGTCATCTCTACTGAGAAGGTGTGGTACAAGCGTTGGGACCCCTGGACCATTGGAATAGGGGACCAAGGCCAGGCTGTCATCTTGGATAGTAATGGGCAGTGGGGCATTCTGTTGCGGAGAGGGCGTGGATTGGAAAAGACTTCATCTTCATTCACATCTTCAATGATAGGCATTAAAGGAGACCACTGTGAATTAACCTGTTTGGACGAACATGGTTGGTCAAAACCGGTGTGAAATTTAGGAGGGGCAAGGGAAAAAGGGACGCCATTTTTTGAATTGTCCACTTGTTTTTGGACTTGGCTTTTTGGAGGGGAATTTCTTTGGCCCACATCATCTCCAACCCTACCCAAATTAGAATCTGGCCTGCTATGTCGTTTTCCTTTTACCCATGTCCATCCTGCAAGATCCTCCTTAAGCCCTGCTCCCATGATGTCCACCTCACCGGCCGGAGCTTTTCTGGTGAGGCTCAAGTGTTTGTGTTTCCGACAGTTGTTGACAGTATGCCCAAAAATATTGCAGCAAGAGCAGAATTGTGGAAGATTTTCAAACTTACAAGGGATCCAGAGATCTCTGCTTCCTAGCCGAATATGCAGACGGGAGGGGAACGGCAACGAGGTGTCTCTTTCAATGCAGAATCTGGGTTGTTCAGGAAATACACCAATCGCAGTGTTGGAGTTGACTTTGATTGGCTTACCGAAAAGGGAAGCCACTTTAAAGAGAACTTCATGGTCGTTGAGATGAACTGGAAATATGCTCAAGCTTGATCCACACCGGAGCAATTGGGGATTCACGGGTTGGGGAGTATTCCGGGGACTATTTGGAGATGACGATGTTGATTCCATTGACAACCCAGCGCCGCCGGGAGAACCAGCGCAAATAGTCTCCTTCCCATTTGAAGAGGAAGAGAATGTCAATCTTTCGCAACCTTCTTAGCTTGAACTCACTGTATCCACCTTTAACTAGGAATGCCTCCAAATCATCTAAATTGGCTCTACCGCTGCATCGTCCCACAAGTCCACAGGAAAAGTGTTCGATCAACCTAAGTTCTTCTTCAGAGGAGAAAGAAATGGACGGAGCTCCGTTGTAGATCCCATGGTTGCATCCAGGAAGATTTTCTGTGCCTCTAGTAAGGAGATCCGAGAAAAGAGTCTTCCTGTTGGAGTGCAAGTGATTTTGGATCTTCGCCGGAGATTTGTCCTTTCCGCTGGCCGGAAAACAAGAGAGAGAGGGAGCCATCTCCCTATATATATATATATATATATATATATATATATATATATATATATATATATATATATATATATATATATATTATTTATTTATATATATTATTTTTATTTTAATCATTTTAATTATATGATAATTATTTATGTAAAATAAAATATGATGTATTTTAATTATGGGATGACCGAAAATTTCAAAGGGAAAAATACAAGACATAATTTGATTTTCTACCTAATGATATATTTGATTGATATAATCAAATATTTGATTAACAAAAGGATATTTGTCTTGTTGTGTTGGTTGGGGACATTGCACTAATCCTATTCTGTTTTTTCCCTAAGTAATTTCCTAGAAATTCCTCTAAGTATTATATTATAAAATGTGAGTATCCCTCCCCATTTTATATAAGTGAATTTTGGCCATCTCAAAAAGAGAGAGAAAATATTTTATTTTGTGTTCAAAGTTAATTTTCTAAAGTGTTAGAAATATACACAAAATATTATAATGAAATATTTATAAGATAAATATTTTACTATATATTTATTACTCCCAAAGTAGTAGTATTATAGTTTTTACTATCCTATATTAAACTTGCTAGCACAAGTTTAATCTAGGACTCCGGAGCAAATTCGTGTGGATACGTTGGAGGCTTCATACGTTTGGCGTTACATTCATCTCCTCAAAACCATCTCCGACCGTTTCTGCGTTTTTCTTTTTTCACCAGTAAGGTAAATTTCTTACTATAGCTAGTAATTTACGTAAGTTGGTCTTGGATGGAATCGAGTTTTGGACTCTAAATTTTTGTTTTCTTCTGCGTTATCCAAGCTTCGTTTCCCAACACCCAGCCCGCTCAAGTATGATGTGGATAAACTGTGCCTGATGAAGGAATAGTCCAGTGGGTGTACGATGAACATTGATGCCGAGAAAGAAATGCAAGTCGCCCATGTCTGTCATGGCAAACTCGGCCTTGAGTTGCTGGATGAGGCTCTGAAGGAGTGAAGGTGAGGAAGAAGTAAGAACTATGTCATCAACATATAATAAGAGGTAGGCGGTACCCGTGTCATGAGAGAAACGAATAGAGATGTGTTAGTCTTGCACCCGTGAAATCCAATGGTCTGAATGAACCCTACAAACTGGTGATACCATGAACGTGGTGTCTGCTTTAGGCCGTAGAGGACCTTTTTGAGTTTACAGACATGATGAGGTCGAGTGGCATCCTGAAATCCAGAAGGCTGGCTGGCATAAACTGTTTCCTGAAGCTGACCATGGAGGAAAGCATTTTAGACATCTAGTTGATGAATGGGCCATCCCCGAGATAGAGAAAGGCTAAGGACGACTTGGACAGTGATAGACTTAATAACGGGACTGAAGGTTTCACCGTAGTCGATGCAAAGACGCTAATTAAAGCTGCGAACCACCCATCGGGCCTTATACTAGGTTAACCACCTGACGGGCCAAATTTGTGTCTAAAGAGCCATTTTCCAGTGATTATGTTCTGTGTGGGGGAGGGGGGATACCTACTCCCATGTGTCATTCTTAATCAAAGCATTATATTCATCACACATAGCAGGATTCCAGTTTGGATCTTTTAGAGCACTACGATAGGTTGGAGGTAAGGGGGGATGGGTGCAGATGTGTTCAGGTTTAGTATTTGTTTTGGACAGAAAACACCGGCTTTGGATCGGGTTTGCATGGGGTGGATGTTGGCCGGTGAGGGGGGTGAGTTGGCCGTGGGATGGGGTTGGGATTCGTGTGTGGGGTATTGGGCGGTGCTGGGCCATGGGCNGAGCTGGGTTGTTTCGGATGGAGGAGAGGGGCTGCGTAGTGGGGGTACGCTGGGCTGGACGGTTTGGAGGGGTATGGGTTGAGTGTTTGCAGTGGGATGGGCCGAGTGGTTTGGGGGATGCGGCTGGGCTTTGGTGGGCGGGTAGGGCCGAGGACTGTGATAGGGGTTGATGGGTCATTATCTGTGGCATCCAGGAAACCAAGGTCGTGGGGTGAGACAGAGTGACCATACGAGAAGCACGACTCGTCAAACACAACATGACAAGATACGATAATTTTGTTGGTTTCGAGATCAAGGCAACGATAGCCGCGTTGGTTGGAGGGGTAGATGAGGAAAATACAACGAGCTGAGCATGGGGCAAGTTTGTGAGAGGCAATGGTGGAGATATTGGGGTAGCACAGACAACCAAAGGTGCGAAGATGAGAGTGGTGAGTTGTAAAGAGTGGCATGGGGGGTTTTATTGTTTAAAGTGGAGGTGGGGAGGATGTTAAAATATGGGTTAACATATGGAGGGCCTCGACCCAAAAAGTAGGTGGTAGTTGGGCTTGGAAGAGGAGAGAGCGGACGATGTTATTGATGGTGCATATGGTTCGCTCAGCTCGTCCGTTTTGTTGGCGGGTGTGGGGGCAGGAGAAACGGATAAGAATGCTTAAGGAGTCAAAAATATTTTTAAGAGGGGAATTGCAATATTTTGTCCCATTATCACATTGTACTGCTTTGATGGTTGTGTTGACGTAATTTTTTACATATGCTACAAAAGAGGTTAAATGATTAAATGCATCTCTTTTGTGCCTTAAAGGAAATACCCATAAATAATGAGAAAAATCATCCAACAGTAACATATAAAATTTGAAACCAGTAATACTTATGAACGCGGTTAAGCCCAAAGCCTAGGCGGAAAAATCATCCAACAGTACATAAGTCTGTATGTACATTATGAACGCGGTTAAGCCCAAAGCCTAGGCGGATAAATAAAATCTGCTAAGTCCTAGGGCGAAACAAGAATTCCAAAAGGGAAACAGTCTGATTACTAAAGAAGTCTATATGGACAAAAATACATCAGGTGTTATCAGTTTACTATCATCCAAATAATTACAAGGCAAAGCATAATAGTCAACAGAGAAGGATAAAGTCAAGGTCTTGCGTTTGCACGAGAAGCTGGGGGAGGAAGAGGAAGAGGTAACCCATAGTAGGAGATGAAGTCATCCAAAGTGCGGTTCTCTGGGAGACCACTCTGGACTGCCCCGTAGATGCATTGCTGCATGTCAAATTGTCTCTTTGACTGGAGCTCATTTGCAGCCTGTCTCTCTCCCTTCAACTTCTCGAGGTCGAGCCGTCTTGCCTCCATCTGCTTCAGGGCAAATTCATTGTAGCGGGAACTCTCACGCTTGGCATCCTGGAGGGAATCCTCCAGTGCAGAAATCCTGGACTCCCTTTTAGCAAATTCGACTTTCAGGCTTCCTACCTGGTCTTCTGAGGCCGAGACCCTGGATTCCAGGGTGGAAATCTGTGCCCGGAATCTATCAAATTGCACTTCCAGATCTTGGGTTTCCTTGCGGTAATTGGCAATCTGATCTTGTAGGGACTGGACCTTGGATTTCTCAGCTGCAAGCTCCATTGGGCCATCTACCTTGAGCCGGGTATTCTCTTCTTGCAGGACCCGGACCTGCTGTTCCAGGGAGTTGACTTTCTGTTGCAAGGCCCTGGCAGCCAGATCCCTCTCCCTCAGGAGCATTGCAGCCCGAAAGTTCCCTGATGCTCCACCCAGGTACTCCTCAGTCAAAGTGAGGAGTGATTGCTGGGCCTAAAAAGAGGATAGGGAAGTCAAGGAAAAGGACTAACCTAAAAGGAGATAAAGAAAATTTCGAAAGGAAAGAGTACCTGCTCCATAAAGTGCAGCGCATTGAGGGCAAGCAGGTCGGGGCAAGTCAAGAGAGTTGTGGGCCCCTGCACTGATTCCCTCATCCTCTCTAGGTTCGCCTGGATATTCCAATGGGAGGCCTGTAGGGATCTCAAACCACGGGAAAGGCTTTCCCAACCCTCGGTAAAAGCGGGGTAAGTTTGCGGTGTGAACTAATTACGCCGGATGGGGATATTGGGGGCTGGGAGTGTGGTCGTAGAACACTGTCCCTTCGGCTCCGGTCGATTCTCAGTCTCTCTCTCCATCTCTGAAGGAGGTCCAGCATCTCTCTGTTCTCCAGCCTCATTCTCCTCCGGGTGGGAGACTTCCGTTTCTGGCTGTGCCTCGATCTCCCTTTCTGCGGCAGGGGAGGGCTCCGGTTCTTTCTGCTTTATCCCTCCTTCGTTCGTTGCATGGGGAGTGGTTGCGGCAGGTGGCGAGGAACCGGACGCCTTAGTCTGAGGCTGCGTTGCGGGTTTTCTGAGCGCAGACTGGTCTCTAGGCTCTTCTTCCTCACGATCAAGTCTATCCGGGTGGGATAACTCCAAGACCCCGGATGTGGCAGCAGGAGTGGTATTCTGAGTACCAGAAGAGTTGGACAGGGGGCTGGGCGAAACGGAAGTCCCGTCACCTTTGTTCTTCTTAGGAAGGAAATCATCATCGGAGAGACCTTCCCGTGGCCGTTTCTGGGACAGAGTGGGCCTCTTAAGCCCAGGGATGGCAGAGATAGGAACAACATTCAGAGCAGCATCCGGATTGCGCACAACTAAGGTAGTGGAACCACCTTGGGGCCGATCCCCAGAAGAGCTTGTAGCCGGGTTGGACTCTGCAGCAGAAGGAGCCTTCGATCTCTCAGGGGAAGGCACCTCCCCAGGAGGCGGTAAAACCCTGCCTTCTTGTACAGATTAGCTTCTTGGAGAGAGTGGTGGGAAATTAGACCCTCCTTCTCCCTCAAAGCATTATACACCCCCTCCGCCAGGTTTGCTGGGGCGAATTTCGTCCGGGAAATAGAACGGCGGAGGACGACACCCGGC